CCAAATCTATCCGTTTTGTTGAAATATTATATTCACTTATAAATTTGACAGTCAAATATTCATTCATTCAGCTAAGTATTACAGAAGGACTAGATGTAGGTGAGGCTCGATTTATTTACTGATCGACTGTCATTGGTATAGAAATCAATTCGGAATTAAAACTACATCACTCCCATCTTGTCAGCAGTCAGTTGCTTTCCTTCTTTTGGTGATAGAATTTGCCTTTATTTCTTGTTGTGCAACTAAGCATTTATCATTTAAACTATTGCTAATAAATGTCGAACAAATATATCAATTGCTACTTTGTTTTGGATTCTAATTTTTATTCTTTCAATTATTCGATATTTTCAGATGATTTTTGTTCCACCAAACATGAATTGGAAAGCATCGCATCACCTTATTGTTCTGCTTTTACATTTTCATCAGATTCGTTTGAAAACACAAGTTTTAATGATTTAAACATTTTATTGTATTTGCTGTATTTTTCATTCATTCACTTCATTTGTTCGTGATGCTTTAAAAAAAAGAAATTTCTAATACATTAAAATAACATGAAACATCTCTCTATTTCCACCGGTTTTATCCTCTTTTTTCTGATTTTCTATCTACAAAAGTTGATTAATATATATTGATTGATTAACTTTTGTTTTGCAGTAACTTTTTTCTTAAATTTCAGGTTGAAAATTTTTTTAATCGTAGAAAGAGTGTTAACATCAACAGCATGGACGTAATTTTGGATCATTCATTTGGTGGTATCAATAGTTCTATTCCTGGAATCGGTGGGCCGCAATGTGTTAAGGTTTATTTCAGTTGAATTTTTATATTTTCAATAGAATTTATCTAACGAGCTTCCTTTGAATTTTCGTATTAGTTCGGTTGTCAACTTCACTCTTTTTTTGAAATTCTAATATAACGTTACTTCCATCAAAGTCGATGAACGAGTCTTTCCGAGTTAATTCGATATCATTTGCAAATTCACTGTTATCCTTAGAATAGAATACGCTGATCGAAGTAATTCAAAAATGCATCACTTTTTTTTTTTTTTTTCAAAGTGATTTTTTTGAAATTTTCAGTTCTTACCGTTATGGCAAAGAATAGCAGAAACATTTCTACTTGTGCCACTTGCTATTTGCGGGATAATTATTTCATCAAAAAATTTAGAAGTATGATGTACATTAAAAATATAAAAATATTAAATACTCACCATCATCTCAAGATTGAAATGATGTGCATTGGTCACAAAATCGTTAGCATTCATTCAGGGATGATTTTACAATTTTTGTTTTCATTTTTAATAAATTTTTTACAGGGTTGGGACAGCTTGTGTTTTCCCTCTGTTTTTTTTTTTTTTTTTTTTTAAATATTTTGATAAAACTGCTTCATATTTCCAGTCGTTTGATTTTTCAGCCATTTCTTCTCCCCATTTCTGGAAAAATGCTGTATTCTATCAATGAGAGCGCTGTAATGTTCGACGACGATAAAAATCTTGTCAGATATTGTGTTCTTGCCTTTTATTGTTTCATTTTTGGTTCTGAAATAGTCTGTAAATTGGTTAGAAGGTACCGTTTCTAATCGTTTACTATTGTTACAATAGTACGATTTAAAATACTGAACTATATCCAAGACAGCTAGTAGTAACTTCATATTTTTCATTATAATGTTTATGGAGAAATTTGTACGTTTGCAAATAATGTATGTAAGGATGCTTTACTGAGTGTATGTTATACGGTTAGTTTTATGTTTCATGGTAGTTAAAAGATTGTAGTGATGTTAATCCGTTCCACCTGTTATAGATTGAATGAGTAACTAGTAATTTCAGGGTATTTGTATTTATATTAAATCCATGCCATATCGCAACGACAATACAGATATTGATTCTCGCGATAGGCATCACTAATCATAGAATGTATTATCTGTTCCGTTTTCAAATGTACTTATTACCTGGTGCACTGATTGGTACTATACTGCCGTCGATAAGTTCTCGTGTCGTGAGTATTTTTACTGAAAATGATATTAAAATATAAAAAACCTTTCACTAACATATCGTTATCTAAATTAAGAATAAGTATGGGACGAAGATTTGTCCTTTTATAATTTTTTTTTTTTCCAGTGTGATGAATATGTGCTAACTATGTTTGATAAAGACTGGATTTATTCAAAAATTTTAAATTCTCGAACAAACATTGAACAATACAATACATAATTTTTGAAAAAATGAGTCTGGTCAATTCAGTGGGCACATTTCATAGCGATTAACTGATATGATTTATTTTCTCGAGTTCTATTATTACTATAAATGCATAGAAAACGTTTTCCAGCTTTTTGTTGAAGTACTTATATATTTTATTCAACATGTAGCAATACTCATTGTCCCATTCTTTATAGTTTATGTCAACGGTATGATTTTATCTTTCTTAAAATCATAAATTTCTAAAATAGACACCGTATTAACGTGTTTTGTGAATTTCACTTTTATGTTCCTTCTGGGAAAATGGGAATTTTTTTCTTTCATTTCTCTACTTCTATTGCAGTAAATAGAAAATCATGAAAATATCATTATTAAAAAAGGGTTGCAACAAGCTTATGACATTTGCTTTCAGGTACTTTCTTACTGGAACCATTTCAAAATTTCGTATGGGCTGTATTAAGTTTCTCTGTCATCCTTTGCTATCATTTTACTATATTACAAATTGTTGGGTTGGTTAGTTTTTTATCAATAGCTTTTATAAGTTTTGGTGCAAAGAGAATTTTCATAAATTTATTGAAATACTTGGTTTACATCTTTAATAAATGATGATCATTTTCATTTGTTTAGAAACTTTGATGAAAGATAGCTGGAGATATTGACATTCCTTCTTCGCTGACAATTGCTTCATAATATTTTGATGCAGTAATAATAAATGATATACATATGAAATAAGTGATTTTAGATAACGGAAGCAAATATGGGCTGTGTAATATGCCCGGCAATGAGTGATCCATTCTATGGTCGATTCTATCGCTTAGCTACTGTGATTCATCAAGCAATTCTAATCCCTTTAATTACAGAAGTTTTTAGTGTCTGTATCAAATGTGTCACTGATGTTACTCATTTGAATAATGTTATACGGAAATCGAAAAGATTAAGTGAAAGGAAGAAGTAGAGATGAGGGCATATGGATACATATATTTTTTTGAATTATGGATAACAGAGGACAAAGTTTAAAAATACATATAAATTCAAAGCTATAATACTGAATCTTCTGTTTTATATAAATAAACTGATTATTGTATGGGCTGTTTATTGTATATTGTTGACGTCGAATGTCGTTATTTATTTGATAAAAAGCATTTTTTGAATTAAACAATGTGGTTTAAATTAATATTTTATCATCACTCTAATGTCAAAATCTGATACATTTAGTAAAATGTGTCAAATTATATTTTAACGGTTCAAGCATATACAGCAAAAACCATTCTAAATTGTTATGGTGTAGTCGTGAAGAAAGTTTGAAATTATTCATAAATTAAATCGATACAATGAATTTGTGTGCTGCATATAGAAAATACAGTTTGTAAAATACATATACTTGTTATCTGTTACTTTCCTCTTGTTTATTTACATGCCATTTGAGGATCATGTGCAAAACACGACATACGGAGGGGCACTGCTTATATTTACTACCCTTTCTAGATGATTATTGATTATATTGCGAATAATTTTGCTTATGCTGTTTGTTCGAGCGGTCGTATCTTTCAAGTCTTCTCCTTTCAGTGTTCTTGCTTCATTGTATCAGTCATCGAGTGTTGTTATATTTGTAACACAGCGAAAGTTTAGTTTGCTAAGGTACACTATTTACTGATATTTTTGCATAGGGATTAATTGATATCATCCAATAAGCATCATTTCATTACCATTACCATTACTGTGATTAAATTTAGCTGCAAATAATATTCCGCTTTCTCTCTACTTGAATTGAAGTGTTTAGTTGTCCCAAAGTACAGAGCCTGAAATAGCTGATTGTTATGAGACAGAGATGTCCTCCGTTTAATATAATTGGTAGTAATCTTTCAATATAACAACTGGTAGTAATTTTCTTCGTGTCTTGCTTTCATTTATTTAATCGAATGTTCCATCTTATCAATAACAACAAATGGTCGTTCTACAAGTTGATTTGTAATAGTTGCAGTTTGCGTCTTATCTGGGTCAAAATATCTTTTTATTTATAGGTTTTGTCACAAGTGTGAAGATTATGACTGTATTTGATATTGATATTTCGGTTTTTAATTGTCTGCAAACCATTCGAAATAATTTGATATGATATTGTGAGATGGATTTCATTTTCCTTTTAATAGCAATTTAATGGATGCCTACCTGTCCCTGCATAAATCTATATAAATGCCTATATAAATCTCATATCCTAGGTTCTTTGGGTTTTGCTGACTAACGAAGAATGATGATTCTAGAAAATATGGTTAGTTTTATAGATAAGTCTTAAGCTGTCAATTTTAGATGTAAAGAAAATTAAAAAATAATCTGACACTTGTTTTACTTTATCCTGTGAAATATTCCGTACTCTTCTATGTGTTTGTAGAAATTTAATGCTTCAGGAGCTGGCACTTTTATTGACAAGAAAGATAGCTGAAGTTATCCACAAAGAAAGAAGGATTAATAATGAGGGATATATATATATGCAAATTATTCTAAAATAGAGTTATCAAATCCTAAATCTCATTTTTATTGAATAGACTAATGAGGAGTTTTTTCACATCGGTAATATGTTTATAGCATATGATCAAGTATGATAAAATTTATACCAACCGCTCGATCCATTTACTTATATCTTTCTGAATTATGTAATAACTAATGAAGTAATTTTGAAGCTTGACATTTGTTATTGATTTTTGTTTCCTGCGATAACAAATGATTTACTCCGAAGAAAATTATCATTTTGTTCAGGATTGGCTAATTCATTCTTTCTTTTTTCTTTTTTTTTTGTATGGCTATAATGTGCACGACAATGCATTATTTGCTATTAATGATCGTTGTAATGTTATATCCAATATCTACGGAGCAGTGAGTTTCATTTTTATCTATTGGATATCACATTCATTATATTTATCTTACTAAAATCTTACTAAACACTTGACAGTATGCTATGGTAAATTATGATACAGAACATGTTTTTTTTTATTTAAATTTTTAATTAAATAGTATCTATCACATCTTAATATATTCTATCATTTGATCTTGGAAATACTCTTAATCTACTAATCTAGTGAAATAAGAACTGCATTATATTGTATCATTCAGTCATCGCCTATGGGTTAGGAGGTATGTAGCATAAACTGATGAGAATGTCCCAATAGTTGTTGTCTTATTGTTTGAGGATATGTAACGGAAATTGACGGGATGCTTTTATTACTTTTCCTTATTGTATTACAACTATTATTATGGATATTTTTTATAAAAGGTGAACAGGAATAGATTGAAAACGAATTTGTGCTGCTTAAGTGGTGTTTAAATGTTATGGGATTCGAAGCAAGACGGTATTAATCGTGGGTTTCGATGCTCAATTAAATTGTATTCTGAAAAGAAATGAGATAGAATATCTTGTAAGAGTGTAGTTGAAAAGATGTAGCAGATATATTACAGCGCTAATTGTAGAGGAAGTGATACCACGATGTCGGTGGAAGAAGCATTCAAAAAATACCAAGTTGTGCCGGATGTTATATCAATGGTTCCTACCAAACTGATCAATGTCGATTATAGTGGTGGTGCTAAGGTAAATTCTTGAGTAATATACAGTACATGAATGCAGATATGATTGAATATGCGTTCAAAATCAGCTGATCACACTACATTAATTGTCTGTCTTTTTGACCTATAACAAGCAGTAGAAAGGTATTTCAAAAACTCTTTCAGCGAAATTCAAAAAGACTCGACTGTAAGCGCTACAGTAAGTTTGATTAGAGCACGCTTTTACATTTGCCATAAATCGTTTCATTTTTTATGATGCAAATTATTTCTTGAAAATAAAGAATAATAGTATTATAAAGCAGGAAAAATAAATAAAGAATAATAGTTTGGGAAAAGATTAAAAAAATAAAGAATAATGGTTTAAAAATAACTAATAGTTTGGAAAATATTTAGGTGAATCTGGGTAATGAACTTACGCCAACACAGGTGAAAGATGAACCAAAAGTATCATGGGATGCGGAAGCTAAAAGCTTATACACACTGGTTATGACTGGTACTGAGTTATTTAAACTGCTGTTAAATGTAACTGTTGGAAATTAAGCTATTAATTAAAACCGAAATTTTTAGACCCAGATGCACCATCTCGACAAAACCCTAAATTCAGAGAATGGCACCACTGGTATGTAATTACCTTCATATTGATTTTTATGATCTAACCTTTCCAAATTTTATCCGCAATACTAAAAAGATGTTTTAAAATAAATCCATAATCATAGGTTGGTAGTCAATATTCCTGGGCAGGACGTTAGCAAAGGCGATGTGTTTTCCGAGTATATTGGATCGGGTCCACCAAAAGGCACAGGTAAATAATGATATTATATTTCCATGAAATATGATTAATTGCTGGAATTAAATGTCTTTCCCAGCAAATAATTACAGATGTATTGAATCTCTTAATTGAACGCTATGTTAATATCGGTTTCATTTTTAGGACTTCACCGCTATGTATTCTTGGTTTACAAACAACCGGAGAAAATCGTGGATGTCCAACATGGGCATCTTACTAACAAATCAGGAAAAAATCGCGCAAATTTTAAAATTGCCAAATTTGCAGAGAAACACAAGTTGGGAAATCCAATTGCTGGAAACTTCTACCAGGTTATTCCCAAATTTGATTCATTGCATATAATTTATCAAGTTTTAAGACATTTTAAGCACAAGAAAATAGTATTGTAATCAGAAGTGGAAGGAGTATTTTGTTTGGATTTCAGGCTCAGTACGACAATTATGTAGCCAAACTGTATGAACAATTGAGCGATTGATAGTTTTAATTTGTTTTCACAACATTTAAATGATGTCATTTTTTCTTTATAGTTATTTCGCTAATTCCGATCCAATGAAAAATAAATATTTTTTACCATGTTTGTTACAAACAAGCAAGTTCAGTTATGTACCTGGTACTTCACAAATATGTTTCATTGTTTTCGAGTATTTAGCTTAAGCTATTTTGCTACTTCTTTTTCTCCGATAGAGCTAAATCTTATTCTAGGAATAGAGCGCATCTATTCCTAGAATAGGATTTAGAAGCTTAATGATAAATATAAAATCATAGTCGACCATCTGGATTTTTAACTCCAAATATTTCATCCTCTTGAATGGCTCCTCGTATGGAACCATTGGAAGAATGGAGGGGAATGGGTTAAGTCTTCCTAACTTCACTCTATAAATAATTGGAGAAACGATGAGTTATTAATTACAAATAACTGTGGGTCTGTGCGGTTAAAAGAATTTTGAGCTGCAGTTTACTCCTCAGTTCCTACACGGAACATCGCTCAAATAATGGTTTGGTGGACTCTAAAACGATGTCAGAAACTTGTTGTTGTTCAGGGTACGCACCTAAGAAGAGTGCGTGTATAGGTGTGTGTGTATGGGTATGTGTGATTAATGGACACGTATATGTAGTTAGGAAGTATGTGAATGTGGGGAAAATAAAGCGGCGAGTTATATCAGAATTTATTCGCCCATTTCAGTAAGCGATGACGCTGCAACGATTCTGTACGGTTGGATCACAGTTACATCGCCTTAAACTTGTTCGCACATATAATTCCGCAACAAGTGCAGTATTACGATACTGTAGTAGTAAGAGTACAACATCAGACGATGATAAGCTAAGAGCGTTACCTCAAGGGTTACAGAAATTGGTTCGTTGATGTTTGCTTTTTATTTTATCATTTTGTAATGCACACAAATTGTATGTATAGAGTTACACTTATATATTACTTGATTAGCCATATAATTGCAGATTATGTGATTTTTTTTTCTATTTCATGTTGACTATTTAATTACAGTAAATATTTTCAAAATTGGATAGTATTTTTAATTTCACTTTTCATTTTGTTTGAATACGTTGTTCTAACTGTTGATAGCGAGAAAAATTATCAGTTTTATTTTTGACTGTATTTACTACATAAAAGTTATCTTAACGCTGTCATCCTTCCTAGCCTGCAACTTTCTGTCTGTCCTAGGTTTAGCTTAAGGTGATGGTCGTCATTTGTATTTAATGATTGCAGGCTAAAATAAAAGTCGAGGACTGGCATCACATTAATCCTGGTCCACCCACGACTCACGATGATATACCAATTCCCTTCAAAAAATTTGAGGAGGCGAAGAAAGATTTCATGCCGACCTTCAATTTGTATTTCTATGGCTCTTTAATACTTTTTGCTGTAACCTTCTATTGGGTAAGTTTATCTTAAACTTGTTTCTTTGCATCTTTTAACACTCTATATTATGGTACTGTAAAAGATTTTTATGAGACCACCATCATTTACCAACCAGATAGGTAATAGTTGTTGCCAAATAGGTAATTGTAAAAGTATCCGAATATTATGGAGTTCTATTAAGAGTAATTTTAGGTGTTTTTTATTGAAGACATTTGGCCATATAATGCACGAGCACCAGTGAAATCATATCGAGAACGGCATAAGCATAAAAAGCTTCCGGAGTCGTCAAATGATGATAATTCAGGTGGCGGCAAAACGTTAGCAGGTGCCGCTGCGGCTGGAGCAGCATTGGCTATTGATAGTAGCGAAAAGGTCACAAATTAGTCTGCTTCCCATTTTTTAATCGCTTTTTTAAAACTAGTTCCATTACCGTTATGTTTAAACCTCAACTAATTGCTCATTTCTTTTAAATTAGTACATTTTTTTTTGCCTTACCTTTAGCGTTGCTTATACTATTGTGTTTTTTGTCCCATACAATCACCTTTAAACAACGAAGAGTATTAAAAAGCTGTATCTCGTCAAATACCTAAATCGGGTGTCCTTTCTAAATGTTAGTTGAAAATATTGTTTAACCTATCACTTTTACTACTCGAGTTTTCTCATTCATAACTTAAAACTGACTATAAAAACACTTATCCCTCAACAGTTTTGTAGTTGAATAATTTTTTGTTGCGCGACTTCATCTATTTCGAATGGCGTTTATAATTTCATTATATTCTTTCTACCTGCGGTTTGAAATCCAGTTCAGTTCCATATACAGTTGCAGCCATATATTTCCTCTGCTTCTCCCAATTTTGCGTCTTTTAACTAATCATGTTGTTTTCTTTAACTCTGAGTAGCTAAGAATTGCTGAATAGTTGTCGATAAAAATTTGAATGTGGTTTATTGTAATTGCATTGGTATTTTCCATGAAAGGCGTGACATGATTTTGGCCGGAATCAAATGACCAAAGTATATTTTGATTTTATTCGTAGAATTAAAAAATTTGTTGAATCTTGGCAGCAACGATAACAAAATAATATTTGAAAATGATGCAGTCTTTAAACTTACTCGTGATTATCGATGCAATCTTTGTTGAGTACATTTTCTGGGTTTAATTCATAAATGAAATTGGCATGGTCTGCTCATAAAAAAAATAAAATGTGACGTGGAAACATAAAGTAATTAGGATTCTTTTAGGAAGTAATAAAAGCAAACGCTGGTACTGAGGAAGATGTGAAGGTTGACATTTCTGCGGACTCTTCCATAGCTTCAATCAAGGGGAAAAAAGCAGTAGTCAATGAGGATTCTATAGTGCCAGAGGAAACAAGTCCAGTGAGACCGGAAAAAGGGACTGTAGTGGACCCGAAAAAATTGCCAGAAGAAATACCTTATTTGCTAATAGGCTCCGGCGCAGCGTCATATTACGCAGCTTTGGCAATCAGGGCTCGGGATCCAGATGCCAAAGTGCTGATGATAGGCGATGAAAAACACTTACCATACAATCGATCTCCGCTATCGAAGGAGTTGTGGTGGTATGGTGAGGACCAGGTTAGTATAGAATTATTTTTGGGCATGGGTCCGTGACTGCTGCATCTGTTGATGACTGGGATACGTTGATATGTCATTCCGGAATATTTAAGGAAATCGTGGGGTTTTTTTTTTTTTTAGGTGGCTGAGACTCTGGAATATAGAGGTTACAGTGGAAAGAAGCGGGATGTATATTTTGAAGCACCAGGATTTTTCATACTGCCGGGTGAAATTGAGTCGGCTGAACATGGTGGTGTATCGTTAGTCAGTGGACACCGTGTTGTTAAACTTGACTTGACGACACAAACAGCATATCTGGATGATGGACGTTCATTGAAATACCAAAAGTGTCTTATAGCTACAGGTGAAAGTTTAAATTTATTAACTATAAATTTTTTTTTAGATCGTTAATTTCTCGTGTTTTGTCTTGTTGTTAGGAAACTTTATTATGACTACTTATTGATGGTTATTCATTCGCAAAAAAAGTCACACATTTATTCATTTTTTTGCATCTAGAGGACTTATATCACATTTTACTAAAGAACATTTCAGGAGGGTATCCAAAATCGTTGCCAGCAATTGAAAATGCTAGCGAGGAAGTAAAACGAAGAGTAATGTTCTTCCGAACGGTCTGTTTCCGTTTCGTATGTTTTTTTGTCATTTAGAATTGGGTATGTCTTTAAATTTGTCATTTACAGATTGACGATTTCCGCAAATTGGATGAAATAGTACGAAAAAGTAAATCTATAACGATTATTGGCGGTAGTTTCTTGGGTTCAGAGTTAGCAAACTCATTGAATCGACGCTTTGGAGAGCAAGGGTTGCAAATTTGTCAGGTAACTTTTGATATTAAATATCAAAAATACGCTGAAGTTGCGAATTTTGCGAAAAATAAAAAACATTCATGAGAGTATTCTTCTTCTTCTTGTTTTCCATATCTTTTTATTTCAACATATAACCGCGACTTATTATATACTAACTCGAATTTTGACCAAAATACCTTATGATTATGAAAATCGAGTCTAATCATGTGCAGATTTTCAAAGATATAACTATATAGTCGGAAGAAGCGCAATATGAAACGTAATTTGTAGTTATTATTTTTTAAGTGCATTGTACACTTGGGCTCTTTACAACCACTTCTTTCATTTTAGATATTCCGAGAAAAAGGCAATGTTGCTGAGATCTTACCGCAGTTTTTGAGCAAATATATAACCAGTGAGCTACGTAAAAGTGGCATTAATGTTATGCCTGAGAAGGAACTTAAACGTGTAACAATTGATGAAAGTGGTAAACTTCGCTTGCAGTTAGCAACAGGAGGTATTACGATTTTATAAAGAGTTTAATGGTCAAAAAGCATATATAACTTAGGATTTTATTAAGTTTGTAGTACTATAACACATATTACACTTATTATTGCTGATTATGGTCAGTAAGGAATTGATTTTGCTTTAAAGAAACTATAAGCACGGATCACATCATTATGGCAGTAGGCATATGCGCAAATACGGATTTGGCAAAATCATGCGGTTTGGAAATTGATCCCGTAAGGTTTTTTTTTTTCAGTATTTTTATTTTTGAAATAGGAGTACTTTTTTTATTTCTAGGTAGTAAAGGCTTAATAGCAGTTTCTGTGAATATTATTATTATTAGCTTTCTTAATTTTATTAATTCCACAACAGATGAATGGGGGTTATGTAGTTGATGCCGAACTGCGTGCTCGGTCAAATGTTTGGGTTGCTGGCGATGCAAGTAGCTTTTATGATGTTAAACTTGGTCGAAGAAGAATGGAACATTGGGAACATGCACAAATAACCGGACGTCTTGCTGGTGAAAACATGACCGGAGGTATTATTGTGTTCTCGTGCAACCTTTCATACTTTGTACCGTTTTCATCTCAGGATTAAATTTGGAAGTAGTTCTATAAACTTCCCTGTTAAATAACTGTTGTTTTTCATATGCTATGAATTTATTTCAGCGAACAGAGCATATTGGCACCAATCTTCTTATTATTCAATCTTAGCACCAAG